CCCACAACAACTTGAAATACATCCATTTTAAGTCAATCACCTTATTCATATTTATTCTCCATGAAGGATGTAATCCCTGTCACATTATCCATGCTTCTGAGCACGCAAGCACTGGCATTTTTGTGCAGCAGTGAATTGATACCATATTTGGTTGCAATTTCATGTATATTCAAGTAGTTTGACGCTCAAACATTAAACTGTAGCAAAGGTTGTATCTATGAGATAAATCCTCATTACACTGTGATATATTCAAATGCTAATGCTAGCACACAGCTAAGGCTGCAGTTTTCAATGAATTTATACAACATCATTAGTCTGGGTCAGCTTGGAAAATACCAACTCCACATATTCACAATCAATATTTATTTGCCATCAATTCTTAATCACCTTTACCTCAAATGTACCATATACTAGTAATGTAATGAAATATGAAACACACACAATTGATTCAGGACAATCTTAATCTAGATGTCTTATAAATTCATTTTTATCACATCAGTCAAGTTTGTTTCTTAGATTTAAGCTACATTATGTACATGCGATTTAATTTTGAGCATTTAACAGCTCATAACCATATGTAATACATTAGTTCTACAGACATTAAAAATGTCTTATCTATCCCTGATTTAGCATGATGATCATCAACAGCAATTGATTAAATTTATAGGTGATCAGGTGGCCCAGCAGGAACTCGCCCACATTTCACCTTGTTGACCAGGGTTGGATACCCAGATCACACGAGAAGTTATGGAGGCATCTGCCTGACAATGTGGGTTTCCCATGGGTGCTCTGGTTTTCTGTATACGTTGGAATTATTTGATGGAAAACAACCTATTCAACTATTGCCTTTTTCCTCTGAACAGAAAAATGAGCAAATTTCAACACAATGACCAAAAATAGTGGTGGGACATTGGTTGCAGATATAATCAATTTATCAGTTAGCATCTGTTGATCTTTCCAATGTGATTTTACTGATCATAATCAATTCAGTAATATTCAATTTCATTATCCTTGTCCTTCTGTTACTCTGTTTGTTTGTGTTGTACATTCCTTTTTAGTGTAAAAGCAATTAAATGTTGCAAATTAAGTATTTCCACACATTCCCCCCCCTCAACAACTTTACTTTCCAGCATATTTACAATGGCTGCCACTACAAGGCATCTCTCTAGACTTGTGGTAGTAAAACTACCATTGCTGCCAATCTCACAATGATTTATTTTTGGTAGGCTTACAGCCACCACTCTTGAGAGATTCTACAGAGTGACGACCATTGTTTATATGCTGGGGGGTAAAGTTGTTGGGAGAAATGAATGGAAATATCTAAGTTACAACAACTGATTGCTTTGACACATAAACAAGTTAGCAAAGAAATGTTTTATCTTACTTTTGGTGTATGATCTAATTCATAACTATCGCTGTAGTAAACAGTAAACAATACATGTGTATAACAATACCTGAATACCAATCCTTGCATGGTCGCTAGAATTTTACTTATAGTAATTATGACTACTGCCCGTAACCAAGACAAAAATGAAATGTCTGAACCTTTGTCTGGCTGCCATCTCCCTTTATACATACTGACAACCAAGCAAGACATCTGGTGAAAAGTATAGATATTTCTTACATTTTCACCGATTAATCGATTATGAGAAACACAACTGATCAACGTTATCAATATTCTTTTAACATGTTGCTAATGGATGTTAGAAAATCTCACCACTGACTAGAAAAAACACCACTCGGTTTGGTCAAAACTACAAGAGATATAACATCTCTGTAAAAGTTGTATCATCAATAGTGATGAGTGATATAAGATTTCTTACATCATCACTGCATCAATGATGTTTTTATCAAATTGATGAATTCCTATAAATTTCAATGAGTAAAAATTCATCCTAGATATGATATTGTGTAGTTTATTTTGTAATTGTTGTAAAATAAAGGATATAATGAGAGTTATAATCAATTGTAGTGCAATCAATCAATATCGTTTCTGTTAAAATGGAAACAACTTGGTATCAATTAATTCATCAAAGAATGAGTTCTTATTAAATTATCATATAATGGCAAAAAAAATCAATATATAACAGGAATGTGTACACACACTACTTGTTGGGGTTGGGAGGTGGGGGAGCATGTTTGCAATATATAACAGCACTACTATATACAGTACTACACTCAGTATTGATTGATACATGAAATATGTAGAAATAGTTATATATATATATACATATATGTGTGTGTGTGTGTGCGTGTGAGGGTGTGTGTGTGTGTGTGTGTGTGTGTGCGTGTGTGTGTTTGTGTGTGTGTAATTTTGTGCTTGTTTCAATATATAATAATGTATACCTACGAAAAAGAGTAAATTGTATGCATATGAATGTAAAATTATTGAAATTTTAAAATGAATTTTTCAGAATTGCTGTGAATTCAACTAATTCATAAATTTTATAAACTGATGTGTGTTTGCATTTTCTCCCAAATTCAAAGCTTTTTCCAAACTTTAGGGGATGCATGTAAAATTCTCTACACGATATGTCTGTGACTTATGACAGTATTCAAAAATAAAGGGGAGGACAGCAGGTAATGATAACTAATCCAATGAACAATTTGCCCCATAAATTTATTGTAACACTGTACAGTTGTGAGTATCAAATAAGCATCATAATAACAAACACTGAACCTCATTGATATACATGCACATTGTTCCTGATATGCACATATACCTTCTGTACTGCTTGACTTTTTTATGTGGCTACTTGTTGTACATAATGTAATTGCCATGAACAATCTGACATATACATTGTGGTAATGGTATCAGTATAGCTGCCAGAGGACACAACGGCAGCTGTACTTCTAGGTAACATGGTCACACTGATATTATAACCAGATCAGAGTTTTCCAATGATGCTAATTGAAATACTTCATGACTGAAACTTTAACAAGTTTATAATTTCTATACTTCATGACTATATAATTGTGAACAATCACTTACTTAAACGACAGTCATGTAAACAGATCTTTCACATTTTTTCACAGTCCTCTCTCTCCATATCTATGTATTGTTTTGTAATTCACAACTGTGGCAAACCTAATGTAAGTAAACTAGACTGACATAGCTTGCGAACTGCCTATATCACCAGCACTTAGGTACAAGAAATGATCAGAAGTGTGAACACGCCACAGTGTATCATCATCATCATCTTACAAACTTACTCAAGTGTATCTCTATACCTAACCAGCACACTGACTAATACTAGTGTTTACAAGTACACTGCCCAAAACCAAATACTTTCTAGTCATGTAAACTGTCAGCTGGAATCATGACTGTATGCTGCCTCAGGACATAGCCATTCAGGAAGTGTTAACATAATGATACAAGTGTACATGCAGTGTCCTGTTAGTAATATAAGTCCTACATATGGGTCAAATTATGACATATCAAAATCAAGTCTATAAAATCAATGTAATTCAGCAAAAGTCACAATGAGTCACTTCAGCTTGTTTCATAAAAATCATATTTATTTTTTTCAATTTGTTCGAATGTGAGAAAAAATCAAAGCAATTGAAAGATAACAAGTTCTAGTCTATGACCACACCATGTACACTGGTTTTCTGATGATCTATATGTCGTAATATGATCATAACATATTCAAAGGAACATTTCATGTGGAAGCTGGAAAGATTTTGATTGTTTTGAATGTATGGCCAAAACATTGATAATATTTTTAGTTTGAGGTGAAAACTTTATTTACCATATTCAGATAAAAAAAAGTTGAATTGTACAGCAGGCTTTTATATTTGCATAGCATACAATATGTAGGAGAACAGTACCAGTGTTTTTGTAACAGACCATTTCTGCCAATCTCGCAAGAATTTACTTTTAGTAGGTTTACAACCACAAGTCTAGAGAGATTATGCATAGTGGCGGCCATTGTCAATATTCAGGAAAGTAAAGTTGTCAAGGAAAATGAGTGGTAATACAACATTACATTGCTTTGACATGTATGCAAGTTAGTAGAAAAATATATTATTTTTCAATTGGTGAATGATTCATAACTATCACGCTGTTGAAAACTATATAAAACAATGCCTGCATGCAGATCAATGCATGGGTCGCTAGTATTTGGCTTTTTTATGCAGGGAGAAATTCTGACTATCAGTCCATGACCAAGACTAAATAAAATTGCAGATAGATAGGCAGAATCCTTTAGACTACTTTTCACTGATGTCCTCTAATCAATCCTTTTTTTTACCCTTCATGTATCAGTAGGAAATGTTATCTGTCTTATGTTTAAGCACTTACTGTGAAATGGTAACTTAAGTCATGTTTTGAAATTTATGTTTAACTTTTGATAACTGCACTCACAATAAAAGAAACAATGCTTTTTGTAATAAACAAATTCTAAATCTTTACAATACATGAGCTCTTAACAGCTACAATAAGACAGCTGAAAGGTAATGCTAAATGTGGTCTGACCACTGATATGTTGATTGAAATGGCAGCTACAGAATGTCAACCCTGTTTTTATACTACCATTACTACTTTCTACAATCACTAGACATTGAACCCAAAATGTTTGGTATATACAACGGTATGAATGTGTATGCCACCTGATACTATAGCAAACAAATATATAACAACATCCTAATTCAGTTCAATTAAGCCTCTTATATATATGTATGGTGACAACATGCATCCGCATCTTGGTAAAGAAAGGAAAGCAACTTTGAACTATAGTATACATAAAGGATTAGTGATATTTTGTAAACAAACGAAATTTGAAATATTTTCATATGAATTTTTGTCTCGTTTCACATACACCATGCACCTTGTCACTTCACTAAATTGTGAATATGATAGGCATATTAATAAAATTAAATATACCAACCTCTCATGTATTGTAAACAGCATGTATTGATGAAGTGACTTTCTATAAATAAATCCTCTACAAAAATAAGTTACACTATTTCTATATATGAAAATCCTTATCCATACTTACATGTTATCATCACAGTAATCAGTTATATCATAAGAAGTGCATATCCGTTACCCCATAACAGCCCAAGAATCTTACAAATGTGATCTTATCCTTGTCGAATTGCCACTATCCATCAACGTCTGACAGACTTTGACAGCACTGACGACTGGGAAAACTATCAAACGCCCTCTGACCCAGATCGAACCGGAAGTACAAAAAATTGGGAAAAATAAAGTAATGTCCCCAACGAGATTTCTGTAAAGTCGTTTTAAAAGTGAAGGATGTCATTTTATCGTTACTAATTAAAAGAAATTTCCATAACATACAACTGAAAATGATACAGTATTTCAATGATAAAAAAGTATTCATATAAAAATCTAATAGTCAAAACCCTAAACGGAAAAGGAGCCAACGTTCCGACATAGCCTTTGGTATATTACATACTTGCATCAGTTTTTCAAAGATCGAAACACGGACTTGTATTGTAGCAAGGCCGTGAACAGAGCATATTCACACAATATACAGTACATATACTGGAGTAAAATAAGTTGGGTGTCTAGTGCACTTTGTATTGTATTACAGACGTAATGTTATTTTAAGTTTGACCAAAATTTCGGCCCGAGTCTGTCTGAAGGGATGCGGAAAAGTTGTTTCTTTGCAGCAGACATAAACCAGATCCTTTAACTCTTCAAACATTTAATCACAAAAACATTAGATACAGTAACCAAAACATCTTGAATATACAATTGTCACGAAATGAAAAATAAATTTCACAACTGTTTAGAAGAAAATGTGAGGTTATATGTTTATTAAAAAAATATATCGTCAATCGAATTAATACAATATACTTTTGTACAATTAACAATGTAAAACATCTAGGTACAGAGTGAATATGTAATGTGGAATTCATTATACTACCATACTGAGTTCATGTTTTACTCCGTATTTGTCGGCTGAAAACAAAATAAAGAAAGATACAAAATTGTATGATTATCGAAAATAAAACCTGTTCCAGAAGAAATGAACTCTGTTAATACAATAGATGTCAGAATCGAGGTCAAACAGTTTAACTATATGATTATATATTTACCATCCGTATTGCCCGAAGGACACGATACACATATTATGACATCCAAACAATTTACATACAGTACGGTGTAAATGTTAAACCACGGACTTGTGTATATAAGTCCGTGGTTAAACCAATTATTAACCATAACGACGTCAGTGAGAAAGGAATTATTTACCTAGATCCATCAGTTGTAAAAAAAATTATCAGTTTTAAATTTAATATAAAAAAACATCCGATTGAAAATGGCTTTTATTTAAAAATTTATAATTATAATAACTGTCATGTTCCACTTTAACATTTTTACCATAAATTCTCTAATCTATCGTGTCAGCTTAAGCGGTTACTAGAGTAATTTTCCCAAGGGCCTTGTTAAAATAATATAACCGTGGTAAAAAAAAAGCTATCAGCAAAATACCGCTCGGCTAGAGAGGACTTCTCTTTAGCTCGATCGGTTGCGCGGCAGACTAGTAAGCCAGGGTTCGATTCTTAGCGAAGTCATTGAAATTAGTAATGATCTCTGTTACATTGGCGCCCACGTAGGGACTCGGAAACTCGTCACTGATCATTGATAACTTTCACAAGTATTCCTCGATACAGCCTAATGTTTAATCAAAACTATTTACCGAAAACGAACTTACCTGGTTATGATGATTTCGTTATAGTAAGGCCAACCCGATCTTTGTCAATTAAGACCTGTCGCTCAGATCTTGAAAAAATCTAGAACCATCTGATATTTTCTTCTTTTTGATATATATTTTTTAAAAATATTCTAACGTAACACAGGACATCTTCTAAATACGTACAGCTATGATAACTATGAAATAGAATTGATTATAAGGTATTTTTCCTTGATAAACCTTTAAGACAACCTGTCAACCCTGATTTTGAAGAGTTATGACCATCTATTAAATAGAGCCTTTTCACCTAAACAAAATTAATGAATATTTTTTTACACGGCTAGTTTTCGTGTATTCCGGAATTTATGTCAATCCAACGAATATTAGTTTATGCATAATCCAAGCATTTATTTGACTTGGATCATTTCAAAATTCATGATGGCGGACAATTTGCCGAATGGATGGGAGAAGAAAGTGAGTCGCAGTACAGGTGAGTTACATGGAGTAGATACCAATTTGACAGATTTTATTGTTGATATTAACAAATACACTAGATTTTTAAAACTCAGATGTTTGTGACTAAGGCCTTATCGTCATAAACATCTTTAAGGCATTTCCAACTGTTTTCTTACTCCTTACAGCATGGTATATCATTGCAATACGCAATGGGAAATTTTGAACTGCGTGAAGTCATTGTCAAGGCTCTGACACTAGTTTCTGTAATTGATTCTAGAGATAGGACCTGTGGAATTATTAATTTCCATATTGGAAAACACTTCTTAAATCTCTTCTCCATTTCCATTGTGGGAATGGGATGTTGAGACACTGAGATGGACATTGTTGTTATTTTTGCTGAATTGATTGCTACAGTATTTGTTGTAATCATTTACTAATCGTTCACTCTATAAATACTGCTGTTATATCACTTGTAGGTCTTTATAGTCTGATGATTTTAGGACCATTGGTTCTCTTTTTCTTACATTTTTTTTCCAGATAACATTTTGGTGTCTTTAATTATTTAGGCCAGGAATACTACTTGAACCTGTACACGAAGGAAAGTCAATGGGATATGCCCACTGAACCAGCTCAGAGAAATACAGACAAAACGGTTAAGGCATCTCACCTACTTGTTAAACACCGTGAATCTAGACGACCTTCATCATGGCGTACTGAAAATATTACTCGCTCCAAGGAAGATGCTCTCAACATTCTTCAAGGTGAGTTGGTTTTTATGTGCATTTTTTTGTATCAAAATATAATAAAGATTTAATGGTATGGTCAGTGACACAAAATTGATGTGAATTACACTGAGACATAAAATAATGTTGTCTTAGTGTCAAACCTTTATATAAATGGCACTCAAGAGAGCAAAGAAAAGATACCACTACAGACAGATTGATGAATGTTATAAAGAGGTTTGGTTAAAATATCAATAATAGACTGGATACAAGTAGATGTAATTATATAAGAATCTGAAAATAGTGGTCTTTATAAACCTGTTCTTGTTCAGACTTACTTGTATTTGAAAAATAAAAAAATCTTTACATTTATAGGCAATTTTGTATTTTAAAGTTAAAAGAAATATATACATAAACCATTATCATATTTGAAGTTTTCAGTGAATTATCTTTCAGACCAATGAAAATTGAATCCTTTGAATGTTCATTTTTATAATTAATTTGACTTTCCAACTTCTGCCATAGCTAAACATTTTGAATTTTCAGAAAAAAAACTGACTTGTTCTTCAAATGTCTGTAAGAAATATACATATATATACTTTTTTCATGGCACAGGATACAGAAGACAGATAGAATCAAACGAAGCCAGCTTTTCAGAACTAGCATCACAATTTAGTGACTGCAGCTCAGCTAAAAAAGGAGGGGACCTGGGTCCATTTAAACGGGGTCAGATGCAGAAACCATTTGAAGATGCTACCTTTTCTATGCAGGTTGGAGAAATGAGTGAACCTGTATGGACTGATTCAGGAGTGCACATCATCCTTCGAACAGCATAGTGGCTACAGACTCACCAACATTCATGTCTGACACCAATGGTGTTCATTATAGTTGGTCCAACTTTATAAATCAGGACTCATTCAATGTAGAATCAGCCAGTTTGTGTTAGTGTTAACAATACAATTCCTTGTTCTTCTGCCTATTTTAGGTGGACTATAAAACTTCCTCTAGCAATATTGTTACATAGTATTAACACCTAAAACACCTCTCCTTTGTATCTTTATACAAGTGTTTATGTTTGAACTACTTACCTTCAGTGATCCTTGAAAAATTAAATAGAAACTACCATTGAAAACATGTCCTTTGTAACCCAACACATTTGTTTATTTTTATTTGTTTTTATTAATTGTTTACATTATACAAAGGACTCCAATTTACAGGGTTCGAAATACTGATTTGATATATCTAAACTAATCAGTTAAAAAGTGCTTTGTAAAACATGAATTTTAATATTACCTTTGTATTGGAAGAGTTATTCCCCTTTCTATAGAGACAATTCCAGTCATCAATTTGCAGAAATTTGTAAAATTATTTTCTTTTCTGGTTTATTGATTTCATTATAGAATGAAGTTTCATATAAAATCTTTGATTCACTATGTTGATTTCTTTGTCAAGGATTAAGTACAACATGCAGGCATGCTGTTTGTTGTTTCAGTTCTTGGTATGATGTCTCTTGCTAGCAAAAATTCAGATGGAGTATATTGTAAAGCAATCATTTTGAAACGTTTATATCATTAAACAGCTGTACAGAACAACATTCGATTTGTCTGCGTATTTGTGTTTTTCCTCTTTCTTTAAGTGATCAGGAAAACTTGTCTTTTAAAATCTCATGAGGTACAGATTGACTTATACTTCCTTGTCTGTAGAAAATATATAAAAGGGAAGGCTTTTTACTCATGAATTTAAACACATTACCATCACACAGTAATTCAAAATGATTTGTAATAGGAATTTCACAGACAATCCAAGATAACATTCTATTTTACTGTCGACATTCTAATTGAACACACTTTAAAAAAATTACATTTTCTTCGTGTCAGCTTCTTCATATTTCCTAAGCCCTAATATTGAAAAAAGAACTACGTTACTCAACGGAGAAGGGAGACAACGTTTACGGATTAAAGCGTTTTGCTAAAGATAAGCTAGTTGTTTCTCTACATAACAACTGAAAACTCCTTTTGCAAGCCCCTTGCATACAAATATCATTTTACCTTTCTCTTTTTGAATTTGAAAGGTGATATACGACAACATAGTCTGTAGGACTCGAACTATGTGTTGGCAATTTTGGTTTTTGCCTTTGTCGCGAAAGATACGAAGACGAAAAATAAAATCACAAATAGACCATGGAACCTTTTGTGCTTCTGGCAACTATGTTTTTCCCCAAGCCAATTATGATGTAGATAACTCTTGGGAACTGGTGAAGCATACAGTGGCGCTAATTGTTTGCATTGAGAAGACAGAACATTGTTATGATAAAAATGTCATGTCTTTGATTCTTTTTTTCGCCTGAAACCTCACTTCAGATCTTTATGAGACCTCACACCCAACACTCTAGTGTATATAGTCCTTCCAAATCAATTAATTGTATTTCGAGTCGGACGGTAGAAATTAAACATAATAGAAACTGAAATGGCATCACATTATCAGTTATATCACTGAACACATTTCAAATATTCGACAGGGCTAGACCATCAAAAGGGATCAAGATACAGAACAAGGTTTGTTGTTAGGGGATCACTGAACAATTACCCTGAAGTTGGTATCCACGGTAGAAGGCCGTGCAGGATGTACAGGGTGAACACTAAGACTTTGTCAGACAAATCAACTACCTTAATACAAAAGTCGAAAAACTCGATCAAGATGATTCAATCATAGATAGATACTAGGCACTAATTGAATCATAGATAGAAACTAATTGCTATGTACAATTTCTCGAGTAAGTATTACAATAACTGCGGAGGTGGGGGGGGGGCATTCTTGAAGCCTGAATTAGGAATCCAATGAACGGTTAACCAAGTGACATAGATTGAAAACTTAATTTTTATATTTTTGTTTTGAAAGTTTTCGGAGGTGACGTCATGAGTTGTTACGTCTATATAGAATTTGACGGAAATATTTTAACGTAAACGTTAAGCTACCAAACCTATTGAAAGTAACAAAGCATAAAACTTAACAAGTCGAAACTCTACGTCGAATAACATCAAAAGTATTTATTCTTAACGGTACGAGTCATGAAAGTATTGGTATGTCATACATCCACAATGTTAAAGATGTCGAGAACCAAAGATAACGACTTGTCCCGATGTAAGCAAAGTATTGGTGTGTCATATGTCATACATCCACAATGTTACAGATGTCGAACACCAAAGAAAACGACTTGTCCCGATGTAAACAAATAAAGTTATAAAGAAAACCGAAAAAATCTAAACCTTTAACGGTTTCAAGCGCCTTAGTATACTTGAAGTCAGAAGTGCCAAAAGGTTCATTTCCATCGCCGAATGTTGTCTTACGAAACACCTTCTAAATATATCAAATAGGTGAACATGTATATGTGTCTGGGGAAGGGGTGGACGTTTTTATAGTTGTTAATTGTTTTTCGTTGATAAATTATTTCTCTGGCCTAGTTATGTTGTGTAAATGCTTTGGCACACGTTTTCGATGTTTCATTTCCGAACAGTTTACATAACATGATCAGCATAACAGTTGAAGTGTTGAAAGAACTTAAGTTAAACCCATTCTCTAAATTTTTGATGAAGAAATTCTGCTCAAAGGCAATATTGGAATGATAGATAAGATATGGCAGTGTTAGTGTACATTGTGGTTCCGTTCTTGTGACATAACTTGATTGGATTGACCAAGATTTATATGGCGGGTGCCGGGCTGTCGATGGAGCAGAAGAACTTGGGTATAAATTGCTCTTCTAATATACCCGAGGGTCACATAGTCAATCATTCGTTTGTTTATGTGTTTGAATTAATTGATAGCATACCGGCATTTTATTGCTGATTTTGTACTCTGTAAATCTTCATTATTTTATTTGCAAAGTTTGACCAACAAAATATTTTTCTTTCAAAAGTTATCCGCGTTTTAACATACCTGTCCATATATACCTAGTCAGCTACCGGTATATCTACAGGCCATTTTTATCTACCTCTATTCTCTCCCTTATCTCAGGAATCTATTGTATTTATCTACCAATTATCTATCAATTCCTTTTCCCTTCATGGACTTCATCTAATTAATATTTTTCATTAATTTATCTTTCAAAGACATTGTCGATTAACCACTACCTTACATAGCCGACATTGATCATCAGACCTCTAACGGAATTGCATGACTGTGGATAACTGGTTACATAATCAAAGGTGCGGACTTCGATAACACTTAGCATGTCTAAAATACATCATAGTTGGGTCGGACAGCGCTCAAAAGATCGTATACGCCTTGATCTTTAAAAGAACAACAACATGCAATTGAAACACGGAGACGACTTCAAACGAGTATTAGATTAAAATCAAGTGTAAACTTTACATTCAATCATTTGAAATAGAACAATGATTTTATTTCCATCAATAATATTCTTTCTGTCTGTATGTATAAGGAAAATACAGAAAATACCGACATGTCACAGAAATCTTATCTAAACATAAGTAAGACGGAAATAAGGCAAACTACTACATACAATGTATATGGAGATCCTGAAAATGTGAAATAATAATATAAGACCAGGTGTTTGAGAAGGAATAGCGTTTCCTTGTTCATATAGAACTGGATTTCTCACATAAGTTGTGCTACCAAAAGAAAAAGGAAAATACTGATTTGTCTAAAACCAAACTTTAGAATAAGGGTTTTCGGCCATAGTGACGGCACAAATTTTGTGTGATGTCTAGACAAACCCTTTCACAAGGGTATCGGATATCCTTGTTTACGGAACAGACCTATGACTGGTTATTTTTCTCTCATACTTAAAAAATAGCAAATTATACAGTGTAAGCTATTGCGATATCCATTTGATGCGTCATCATAAATGATCCCATGAGTTATGCAAATCCATGAGATTTGATGCCCACGTAATGAAAAGACTGATTGTATCCATAACACATTTTCCAATAAATATGATTATGTCATTTATGTCATAAATGTGGACTTATTTGTGATGATATGCATAGTCATAGTTTTACAGTGTAGTTGTACTGAATCCACAACTTTATTCAACAATATGACAACAAAAATAAACATGAAAAACTAATTTGAAAATCAGAATAATACTATATCATTATCGGTGTTGTATATTACCTTATGTAGTTATAAAATTAATAAATTACTTAGATATTATATACTACATGATATTTTGCGAGCAGTTTGATTTAGCATGACCAGCCATTATCATGTATGACTCCATATGTATTATTCTGTTTGTACAAATTTCCTTATGGAGAAACTTAAGAGAATAATGATAATGAAAATAATATATGCAACTCTTTCTTGCTTTCCTGACTCGTCAATGATATTGAGATCCTAAATTTGAAATTTCTCCGAATTGGCGTTCGGTATTCTGAATTAATGCGGAACGTCTAAAGGAATATGGATATGTGTGTTCATAGCTATATATCTATTCCACTAATGTAATATAGTAACGTGAAAAAAGTTCGCTAATGCAATATTCAAACAGTCTGTTAATCAAGCTTCCTTTGAAACCTTAAGCGTGCTAGGTATAGATTCAACAGGGTTAGTTACACCATACCCCCAGCACGCCGTACCGTCCCTGATCTGTGATTTACTGGGGACATAACTCTCGCAACACAGGGAATCACTGATATTACGGAGCAATTAAAGCCTCATTTTACGTAGCGTTAATTAGCCGGACACGCTACATCGCTAATTATGGTCATACAGGTCAAGCAACATCTCGTGAATATGCTGTGTCAAAAACTATTAAAAATGTTATAACCATGGGGTAATATTCACATATTAGACCATAAAAGCCCAATCCCACTTTCCATACATTAAAAGTACGAGGAAATTAATCAAGCTTAGTTAGTGAATGTGTGCTCGGAGGCCAATATGTAAGCTACTAGACAACCATGTCTGTACAGTTACAACGATACAACAGAATTATTGTATTAGCTCATTTTTCAGATTTTCATAATGTCTTTCTGTCGGAATTTCATGGATATATTCAAGGAAGGAAATGGTGAGTCTTAAAAGTAGAATAAGATGATAAGCGATATTGGTCAACCGCGAAGTTTTCTAATTTGTGTTTTATTTAGTCTACACATCGTGTTTTTTAGTGGTTACGTAAAATGTAATCAGATATTTTCATTTTATATCGAATTTATTTGAAATGTTGAAGTAAGGAAATAGTGCCTCATTTTAATCTAATTTCATTATCTAATACACAGTGTAAGACTTAAAATTACATTAAATGTCATGTTCTTGCTACCGGCTATCCTGTGCTGCCTTTGTTAAGAAATTTCATCTCAATCGCTACAGAGATAATCCGGCGTGCAACTCAGTTGTTTAAGTAAGGTAGCCAACAAACAAACGAATAAACTATTCCGTGTAGTATAACTGGAAGTGAAGTAACACTGAAAGTGCAATTTACTATTAAGATTCTTTCTCGGAGTAATTTGATACAGATTTCATCTTCTGGTACGCTAAATTTGGCCTTCTATTATATTTAGTAAATAACGTACTATTTGTACGTCTTACTAGCGATTATCAGTGTTATATTCAATTAGTTCAAACTCCCACCGT